CATCACCATTGAGAAACGCAGTGCGAATTGGACAGAGCGGTCTCTTATGATGTGCTTATAAATTCATGTACTTATGTGAGTAGAATACCTTCCTTTAAATTTAATAAACATACTTTTAAAGGTAATGCACAAGGCTGGTGCGGCCTCTGTTTTGTTTTTCTCTATTAGTACTTTTGGACTCCCCGGTTCTTTGAGGGCAGCAAGGCTTGCATATTCCAAGACATTCGTTGTGTGATCCCTATGACATAGAGTCCATCCCTAAGCGCAGGAGTATTTGGGTTTTCCACTTTCACATCGATGCAAAGAAGTGCACGACCCTTCTTTTGAGCCGCACTAGAACCGGATTGCATGGTCATTTTGTACCATGTGATATGGTTCAGGCAAATGCACTGTTTGCGACCTGCTTTTGGGGTGTCGTTAACTTTGAATTGACACCCGCAGCAGATCGCAAAACAGTGCATTTGCAGTGCAGTACAGTGCAGGAAACGCACAGGGATTGCTGCGTTTCCTGCACTGCATATACATGTGAGCTGAGGCTTAGAATATAAAGAACATTTATTCTCATTACAGATGAAAACAGCAGGAATATACAATAAATAGTCTTGTCAACTCCAATAATATCGATATTACTGCATTGCAAATGGATACATTAACGTCTATTGGTGCTAATATTAGCCTTTGGCAGATAGACACAATGTTTCAAAACAGAAAAAGTAAATATTCTCAGTGCTCTGATGGTCTGTGCAGCCTCCTTTGTCTAGGTTCCCACCTAAGTGGCTCTGCAAGCCACGATTTTGTGGGCATGGCAGCCCATTTACTTAATAATAATTTATTTGAATAGGCCGCTGTGCCTGCGTTTCTTGCATGAAAAGGGTTCCCGTACTTTTTTTAAAACGCAGCCTCAAGGAAATTGCATGGTTCCTTTGCACCTTGCGAATTTCTGCAACTAAAAAATGAGCGTCATTTTCAGATGTATGGGGGTATGGCTGCTGTTAGAAATCATGGGGCCCCGTACACCCTACCTGACAACCCCTCCCCCCAAAATATCAAAGCTTTATTTTCACTAAAACTATAACTTATAAACTATAAAATTCCTGCTAATCCTATAAGAAAAAACTGTATTGAGTTAATAAATAAAGCTCTGTATGTGAATAAAGTATCGGTGCTGTTGCCTGTGCAGTGTGAATCAACAGTTTATATAGCTGGAGCTGTGTGCAGGCAGCCTGTGTTATGTTATGGGGATGCAGCGGCTGCATGAACACAGCTGCAGGTCCTATTTCCACAAGTGTGTGGATGCAGGTGTACAGCTCCTAAGACAGACAGTGTGTGTTCGAGGTCATTCACCCACACCTGCACAACTGTCAAATCGGGACCTGCGGCTGTGTTCATACAGTCTCTGTGTTCCCATAGAGTAACAGGTAGCATGAGACACACACAAAAAACAAAGATCATTCCACACTGCATGAAAACCTGTGTGAATGATCTTGTGATTTTTTTTGTACAATTTATTAAATGTATTTTTTACATTTTTTTTACAATGCTGTTGGGGGAAGGCAAGGTGAAAGTTGAAGGGTTCAAAAAGATCCCTGATGTCTCCTGTTTGAGACAGAGAAAGAGACTTTGGACATACATCCCTAATCCTTTCTCTGCAACATGAATGAACAAGAAGTGCTCTGTACAGAGGCTTCTATTCAATCATAAACTGATGCATAGTGAACAGTTTACTATGATTCAGTGATGAATTAACACAGTGAGTGATTGGTACTGATCAATCACTGTGTCCTTCCTGGAAAGGAAGTGGTCTGGTAAATTACATATTTACTAGCCCCCTCACTCATTTTCCATCCTGATACATCCTCTTGTGTGACGTGAGTGCTGTGTGCTGCCAATGGGAGGCAGAGCAGAGAAGATGGCAGCACTGTGGAAGGAAAGAGGCACACATAAGAGGACCCAGGCAGCATGGGAAAAAGGATTCTCCTCCTCTCCATCTGGCTGGCTTTCAGCTACTGCAAGGGGGTTAGTTCCAGTAAGTTCCAGTAAATTCCCCCCCACCCCCCTAATCCACAGCAACCTCTCTGTCCACATCCTTTCACCCCTGCCAAACTAATTGGAGGAGGAGGACTAGTGGTTCCCCCTTATTGCCAGCCCTAAACTGAGGTTGCCATTAAGAATGAATGGCAACCCCATGCATTTGCAAAAGAGCAGCATGTTTTGGCTGCAGTTAATTGCGGGTGTGGGGCGAGGTGTGATTTACATGTTGTCCTGCACCTACAAGCACCTGCACAAGTGTGGACCTAGCCTAAGGATTTATGCACATTGGATGAGCCCCGCTGCATGAGATCTCAGGCAGAAAGCACAGGTGCACCATCCAGCCCCTCTGCTGGCAGCTTGTAAAATACTATGGGAGGCTAAAAACTGCTGTGGATGGATGGTACACCAAATGGAACTAATGTTTAGGGTAGTATGGATCAATGGAGGAGTACAAGCTGTGTACATGAGTCCCAACTCTGCATGGATTGTCAGAACAATGGGTTTTGAAGGACACGTTCATGTTTTTTTTAAAACACCATCCAGCTACCTCCCTTGCCCCAATATTGGAATTAACTGTAACATCCCCCACGTCCCCACAGGTATTTATTCCCACACTGTCTGCAGACCAGTCAGTAATGCTTGCCATACATGGCTCAATTTTCTCTAGCTCAAATTCCCCATCTACACTAAACAACTTGGATGGAGGAATCTCCAGTGCCATTGTATGCATGCACACACTTCTGCTTGAATGCAGTAGAACTGCCTATGAAGGACTGCATCTGACAGGATGCAGTCACTGTTTGGCCATTTGTTCCCACTGCTGTCAATCACAGCCAGTGAGCCAATCAGGAGATGGAGGGGGCGGGACCGAGACACTGCTCTGTGTGTGAATGGATACGCAGAGCTGCGGCTCAGGAGCACACCTACTTGGGTACCACCATAGCAAGCTGTTTGCTGTGGGGGCACCCGGCAAGAGGAAGGGGCTAGGAGTGCTAGCAGGGGACCCGAGAAGAGGGGGGGATTCGGGCTGCTCTGTGCAAAACCACTGCACACAGCAGGTAAGTATGGACATGTTTGTTATTTAAAATAAAACCCCAAAAAACAAGACTTTAGTATCACTCTAAATCCTGCTCCTACAATATACGTAGGTATGCCCTATTTAAGTCTATGGTATGTCTGCATGGGCAACACAGGTCTAGACTTCAATTAGCTGGGCTGCAGACAGAAAATGAGGCTGCAGACATTACAAGAAGTGACTAAGGACCTGTAGGGGACAGGAGTGTCACAGTTTACTGGATTGAGGGGAATTTGGAAGGGGGCTAGGCAGAGTTTTTTTTTTTTTTAAATCATGCATACTTACACACAGTACTGATGCATGAACAACAGATATTCTTGGCAAAAATATCCGAGGATAGGCTGTATAGCATTTGTGGATGTGTGTACGTATTCCTACATATGCTGACACATGCATAAAAATTCTTCTAGCTTTTTCTAATCAAAATCAAATCATTAGTAATACCTCATATGGAATATGCAGTTCAGTTTTGGGCACCAGTTAACTAAAAGGATATTGGTTCACTGCAGAAAGTACAGAGAAGGGCAACCAAACTGATAGGAGGCATGATGAAGCTCAGCTATGAGCAGGGGTGGACTTACAACTCATGGGGCTCCAAGGCAATAGGGGATCAAGGGGCCTGAGTTTCCAAATGGTCAGTCCGCCCCTGGCTATGAGGATATATTAGCTGAACTGAATTCATCCTCTCTTGAGAAGAGGAGATTAGGGGGGAAATGATTAAAGTGTATAAATACATAAGTGGTCCATAGAGAGAACTTGGTGTAGAGTTATTCACTTTCAGGCCATTACAGAGGACAAGGGGGCACACTTTATCTCTGGAGGAAAAAATACATGGAAAGGCTTTTTCACTGTAAGAGCTGTGAAAATGTTGGATAAACTTCCTCAAGAGCTGGTTCTGTCCAACTCAGTGAGATTTTTTCCAAAATGCACATAACATAACTAGAAAAAATATTTAGAGGTAATAACGTCAGGGGTAGTTGATCTGGGGAAAATCTGATTGCCTTCCAGAAGAAATTTTTTTATCAGCACTGGAGCAAATTGGATCATGCTTTATTGCAGCGGTTCTCAACCTGGGGGTCGCGACCCCTTTGGGGGTCGAACGACGCTTCCACAGGGGTCGCCTAAGACCATCGGAAAACACATATTTCCGATGGTCTTAGGAACCGAGACACCGCTCCTCGCCGCCGCCGCCGCCGCCGCCACCGCCGTCTCCAGGTGTGGGCGGGATGACATGCCGCCCCTGTCATCAGGACACACCTCGAGATCAATCCTCGCCTGTGATTGGCCGCCGGCACTGTAGCTCAGGAGAGGCACACAGGCGGCCAATCACCGGCAAGGAGGTGGAGCTTGGAGAGGAGGAGCCGAGCGGCACCGCGAAGATCGAGCGAGTGAAGAGGAGGAGAGCGGCCGGAGAAGGAAGACATCTGACAGGTAAGTGTCGGTACCATGGGAGAGGGAGGGAGCGAGCGAGCCCAGGCTGGAGCAGGGGTCTGCAAGGTAAGTATCATTGGTGTCAGTGGGAATAGTGCCCCATCATTGGTGTCACTATTACCAATGATGGGGCACTATTCCTCCCACTGATCCCAACGATGGGACACTATTCCTCCCACTGACACCAACGATGGGGCACTATTCCTCCCACTGACACCAACGATGGGGCACTATTCCTCCCCCAAATGACACCAACGATGGGGCACTATTCCTCCCCCACTGACACCAAGGATGGGGCACGATTCCTCCCCCCACTGACACCAAGGATGGGGCACGATTCCTCCCCCTACTGACACCAAGGATGGGGCACGATTCCTCCCCCCACTGACACCAAGGATGGGGCACGATTCCTCCCCCCACTGACACCAAGGATGGGGCACTATTCCTCCCCCCACTGACACCAAGGATGGGGCACTATTCCTCCCCCCACTGACACCAAGGATGGGGCACTATTCCTCCCCCCACTGACACCAAGGATGGGGCACTATTCCTCCCCCACTGACACCAAGGATGGGGCACTATTCCTCCCCCCACTGACACCAAGGATGGGGCACTATTCCTCCCCCCACTGACACCTATGATGGGGCACTATTCCCCCCACTGACACCTATGATGGGGCACTATTCCCCCACTGACACCAATGATGGGGCACTATTCCCCCCACTGACACCTATGATGGGGCACTATTCCTCCCCCCACTGACACCAATGATGGGGCACTATTCCTCCTCCCACTGACAGCAATGATGGGGCACTATTCCTCCCACTGATACCGATGATGAGGCACTATTCCTCCCACTGACACCGATGATGGGGCACTATTCCTCCCACTGACACCGATGATGGGGCACTATTCCTCCCACTGATACCGATGATGGGGCACTATTCCTCCCACTGATACCGATGATGGGGCACTATTCCTCCCACTGACACCGATGATGGGGCACTATTCCTCCCACTGACACCGATGATGGGGCACTATTCCCCCCACTGACACCGATGATGGGGCACTATTCCTCCCACTGATACCAATGATGGGGCACTATTCCTCCTCCCACTGACAGCAATGATGGGGCACTATTCCTCCCACTGATACCAATGATGGGGCACTATTCCTCCCACTGACACCAATGATGGGGCACTATTCCTCCCACTGATACCAATGATGGGACACTATTCCTCCCACTGATACCAATGATGGGGCACTATTCCCCCCCACTGACACCAATGATGGGGCACTATTCCTCCCACTGATACCAATGATGAGGCACTATTCCTCCCACTGATACCAATGATGGGGCACTATTCCTCCCACTGACACCAATGATGGGGCACTATTCCTCCCACTGACACCAATGACGGGGCACTATTCCTCCCATTGACACCAATGACGAGGCACTATTCCTCCCACTGACACCAATGACGGGGCACTATTCCTCCCATTGACACCAATGACGGGCACTATTCCTCCCACTGACACCAATGATGGGGCACTATTCCTCCCACTGGACGGGGCACTATTCCTCCCACTGATACCAATGATGGGGCACTATTCCTCCCAATGACACCAATGATGGGGCACTATTCCTCCTACTGCAAAATTACAGTTATGAAGTAGCAACGAAAATAATTTTATGGGGGTCACCACAACATGAGGAACTGTATTAAAGGGGTCGCGGCGCTAGAAAGGTTGAGAACCACTGCTTTATTGGGAGTTTTTTTCCTTCCTCTGGATCAACTGTGGGTATAGGGTTGTGTATATGGGTGTTTTCAATATCTTTTTCTTGTTAGTTGAAGTAGAAGGATTAGTGTCTTTTTTCAATCTCACTAATGGTGTAACTGTATAATGTTTCGTACATGCATATGTGTGCATATTTGCACATACGCACATAAAAAATACTGACCAGCAGTGCAGATTTTTGTAATGTTTTTGACTGTTCTATCCGCAGCACAAGTTTATTTGCCTGTGCATACAGGTCTATTAAAAACAATGGGTTGCATTTGAATCGGTAAAAAAAATATGCCTGCATGCTTACAAAGGTGGCATTTTTAGATATCTGCGTGTAAAAGGCATTAAACATATCCCATGTTTTTTTTAAAACTAAAATAAATAAGATTTGGTTTAGATATACTTTAAAGGATATGTTCACCTTTGGAACATGTTACATGTTCCACCTGTTTTTTATTGTAGAACATACGCTTGCCACCCCCCCCCCCCCCCCCCTTTCCCTCTGACAGATAGTATGAGAAGTTTCCCCATACTATCTGTCAGATTTGAAAACAGCGGGACCGTGCGGGACTCCACCTTCACTCACTCAGAGTTCTGTGGATGAGTGCCTACAAATCCCGATACCCTTAGCAGCTGTCGGCTTGTAGTTTTCAATGAACTTCCTTCATTGAAGCTTCCTGTCAGTATATCTGCTGGCCCGTACATCCCGAACACCAAGTAGATATTCTGACAGGTCTGCAGGAGCCTTGCATGGCATCAGCGATCTACTGATCGCTGGTGCAATGCTTTCCAGGTTTCTTTGAACAAAAATAATAAATGCACATTTTTTTACCTGCAAAAAAAATGTGAATTTATTATTTTGGTCCAAAAGGTGAACTTATCTTTTAATGCTATGTTTAGCAATATTGGATGAAACAAAATAATTACAATGTTCAACCACCATACCATTCCTATCCTGCCTTATCCCAGTCAGATACAGTAACAAGCAGCCAGGTAGTTACTTGCGCATAACAGGCTGGTCATCAGTAAATGTAGAACAATATAATCTGACTGATAATTGGTCTATGTATGGGGAGCTTTAGATATCTATTCAATCTTCCTAGATTAGAGATGTACAGATGATAAAATCTTGCCTGGCATTACAGAAGAATATTGCATTTTACATATCCACTTCAACATTTCACACGACAATGTGCTATAAAAAAAAATTAACCAATAATCAACCCATAATTAGCGTTCAACCTGTCAATGCAAAAGATTTATATATATATATATACTGTATAATATACATATAGACTGTTAGCTTTGGATAGATGTTTAATGGTTTGCTGAGAGAACGTTGCAGATTTGAATGAGGGGGTTAATCGGAATCTCACACAGAAGGTTGCCATGGTAATGTTAGCATTAATGCACAGCCATTGCTGCGTTCACTTATCCTCCTAAGGCACAAAAAACAAATTTGGCTAAACGCAGCCGACTGCTGGCACATTACAGGTGAGATCCTCCTGTGGATATCTGGGTAAACCTTTTTTTTTTTTGCAGCCTGATGAGTGCTTTGTTGTTGTGAACGCTTTTTGTTTTGCAGGCGTAATGGAAATCACGGTCTCTCTGCAAAGATGGGATTCCTATGGGTGGTCTGCGCATGTGGGGAGGGGAAGTCCCTTAACCCTTCATACACCGGTTACTCACAGAGCTCGTAGTTTGACCCACATCTTCTTGCTGGGAGCCGATTTTAGCTCGAAGGGAGACGTGCATCCCTCCAGCAGATCTTTGTCTACACTGGGGGCCTCCATCATGCCTGTAAAAAAAAAAAAAACAGAAAAAAATATGTTGGTGAGACGACAGACATGTGTGTGACATCGACTGGGTCTGGCAGAAACTTCAATGGACACTGTGAGGTTAAACAATTCTCCAATCTGACAAGCCCTTCAGCTATGACAGTATTGATGATTTTATCTGTAATGGTGTGCGCACAGTATCTGTTCAGCTGAGGCCGCGGTTCCATTTAACTGATATTAAACACATCTGACCAACACGAGGAGGCAGAATCATGCCTCAGAAATGGTGCATACTTCCTACAGGCACCTCAGTGGTACACAGGGATGTACAATACACTACAGGCAACACAGAGTCCACAACATACCATAGGTAGCAGGATCAGTCTCTAACTGCCAGGACTGTGCCAGCAAGGAAGGGGTTCATGCAAATTATCTTTCCTCTCACATTTTCTGTGGTCGTCCCTGTGTCCTTCAGGGAAATCAGTCCATTCTCCTTGCGCCGTTATGTCTAAATGTGGGCAGCGGGAGGGGGGGACTAATAACAGCGGCAATGGCATGAAGCAGGACGCCTGCCCCTTCTGCAGAGGGATCTATACGCGTGTAAGTGAGCGAGGCAGAGTGTGTTATACCTCTACGCTGAGCGAGAACCTCCCCCAGTGACTCTAACAGGTTAACTGATTGTGCACAGATTATTCCCATCTCTCTATAAGTCATCTTCGCAACAGGATCTATATATGATTAATAATGAGAGCCGCCAACCCCAGGGGTGCCCCATGCATCTGTCATGACAATGTGACATGTCATATAAGAACGGATAATACAATGATCGCTATAAACCTGCATTGCGCCAAGACCACTGCACTCTACAGAGAGAATAAACTGTGTTGCCCAAAACTGACACCATGGGTATGTGTTATATAAGAACAGTATTCAATTATTACCTACACTGGTACGTATAATACACAATAACATTTTTTGCATCATGAAAAGTACATTGGTGTGTTTTTTTTTTTTTTTTTGTTTTGTTTGATCACACACAGCGCACACAAAGTAAATGACCTGTAGGTACATGATGTATATAAAGGTCTCTAAATCACAGATAACAATGTGGCTTTCAATAGGTTGCTAAGCAACAGCCTGAAAACACACATCCAACCATTTAAGAGAAGGACATCTAATATACTTTGCATTTGTATTCTATAGAGGCATTATAAAATGCCAGAAAAATACAAGACTGCATGCTGATCAATGCAAAGCTCTTACAGCCCATTCAGACCTTGCCACCCTGGTGCGTTGTGGTAACAAAGGTGATTTAACATGTGGTTTTTTTTTTTCATTCTTTATTGTGCATTGTATTAAGCCAGCCAATTTAAATGGATAAAATTGCAGCATGCAAAAGTGTTAAAAAAATGGACATGCATCATCTTAAGCAACACAGTGCACCGCAATGCACAGTACTGCAATGCATGTGCACTGCAGCTTCTTTCAGAACGAATTGCATTACAATGCGCCAACACATGTAACATGCAGTGCATTACCTTTCATCGAGGTGCGCTTTAATGCCAGTGCATTGGAGTCACATTGCCTTAGTGCAGTGGTCTCCAAACTGTGGCCCTGGGGCTGGATGCCACTGACACCAACAATGTGGCATAATTCCTGCCACTGACACCAGCAATGGGGCATAATTCCTTCCACTGACACCAATGATCAGGCACAATTCCCTCCACTGACACCAACAATAGAGCACTATTCCTCCCACTGGTACCAATTATTTCTCCCCCTAATACCAATGATTGGGCATTGTTTACTCGGACAGGGTTTGGAGCAGGGCCAGACTGACAACTCATGGGGCCCCCGGGCAATAGGGGATCATGGGGCCCCTGTGTCCTTGCCCAAACTCAAAAAAGCCTATGGAAAAGGTACCAGGGGCATCTCATGGGGCCCCCTACTGACCCCAGGCCCTTGGGCAGTTCCCGAGTTTTCAAATGGTCAGTCCGCCCCTGGTTTGGAGACTCCTGCCTTAGTGCATTGGCGTGCCATTTAAAATCAATGGAGCTACAACCAGGGGCAGACTGAAAATGGTCAGTCCACCCCTGGCTACAACACACTAACGCATGCACCATGTGTTACTAAAGTCAAACTTTTTTTTAGTAAAAATAATAAACATGTTATTTTCACCTGCTCTGTGCAGTGGTATTGCACAGGGCAGCCCCAATCTTCCTCTTCTCGGGTTCCCTGGCGGCGATTCTGGCTCCTCTTCTTCGTGTGTCCCCATAGAAAGCTGATTGCTATGTCCGCTCCTGAGTGCGGGTCCATAGACTTACACAGTGGGACTTAGCTCTGACCCCAGTTACTCCCCACTGCATTTGACTGACTGCAGCAGGAGTCAATGGCTCCTGCTTGAGTACTGTGTGAAAAGGAAGAGAAGTGAGAAGAGATGCAGCCGAGCACAGTGCTGAATCTATTCTCCCCTCTCTTCATAAAAAAATTTAATTTTGTCTGCAACAAAACAATCCAATTGAATAAATAGCTATGCATGTCTGAACTATTTTCAGTAAAATACTTGATAT